TGTGTGTGTGTGTGTGTGTGTGTGTGTGTGTGTGTGTGTGTGTGTGTTAAACTGTTTTAGTGGTTTGGCACCAGTTTAATCGCACCTTCTGAACCATCTTTCTGCAACCATGGCTACGTGCTGAAAACGCAGGAAGCCCAAAAACACTCTGACATTGAGCTTAGTTTCATTTTGACCTCTTAGTAAAAATATTTAACAAAATCAAGTGAATTCTTGTATTTTTACATTTATTTGAATTATTTGATGTTATATAAATAAGAAGTGATGAATTAGGTGTCAAAATAAAGAATAAGATGCTATTGTTTGTGTGTTCAAATTACCGCCAAAGGAGAATAAGCTCAATACACGCTGCTCAGAACGTTCTTCTTCTCTGGTATTTGCTGTATCGTTGACATAGTGGCCGAATGTTCTTCTTTGAGAGTTTTGTAACAGTTGGACAAGTGTGCCAAATTCCCGGTGGCAATCGGGGGGTCCGACTACACAACACAGCAACGTGTTTTTGCGTTATATTTTGTAAAACAAGGGTTGTGTGGACAGTTTTTTTTTTTTTAAATGGAGGGAAAAAATTCCATATAAGTGTCGACAAAACCTGAGAGTGAAAGTTATCTTTCGCAACCAAAGATTAAACGGCAGAAACGGAACGTTATCCACCATGAATGTGATCTGTTTAAATGTTATCAGCCTGCAGCATCGTCATGTTTATAATTTTCCTGTTTGGTTCTTCCAGGTGGCAATGATACCCGAGGCCCCGCACCCCTACCCCACAGTGGACGTGCCCGACCACGCCCACTACACCATCGGCTCCGTCATCCTCGTCATCGGCATCACCGGCATGATCGGCAACTTGCTGGTCATATACGCTTTCAGCAAGTAAGATGTCTTCCTGTGCCCAAATATGGTCGCGCTGATCCTCAGGAGACAACGGAAAATCGGACACTGCTTTTTACTAACCGTACTGCAACAGACTAACAGACATGCTGTCAATTCTAACAGGAATACTAAATGCAATGTTCATGCAGTTTGCTAAAATCTGTTTGATAATGCAGTTAATTATTGTTTGAAAGTAATTTTAAGGTTAAACAGTGTTTTAAAAATAATTCTAATGTTGTCCAGGAGATATGAAATCACACTTGCCAGTTAAAATACAGTTTATAAACTTGTGTTTTTTGCTGACGTTTAAAAAAAAACAACAAAAAAAACATAATTCCACTGTTTTGGGACCATGACCATTCAGTGTTTTATTCTTGTATACTCTAAACATTTGTAAACATACTGAAAATACATCAGCACATGATGTAAAGTGATAATTCTTCCATTTTCTCTTCAATCCCACAATATGTTGTTACAATGTTGTTTTGCTCTTTGAGAGGCTGAGAGTCTGTACAAAATGACTTATTCCTCCTTGGTGTTGAAAGAAAATAAGCCACAACATATTTAAGGGAAAATGGTGTTTGAGGTGGAAATAATTGGACAGTGTTCCTGTTTGTCCCCTTAAAGCTTCACCTGTGGAAGAAACACTGCTGCGATGGACTGTCTTCTAAAGCTGCAGAGGTTTTCAGACTGAGGTTAAATCGGCAGTACGTCTTCTAAATGTGTCATGGCTGCCTTGTATCGACCACACACTCGCGTCTTTTATCTTCAATGTGTGTCACAGAAAATGTCTCTCTGCGACACACAGAGTTCTCTGGAGTCTTTTGAAGAAGCTTAAGCACTTAAGATGACTTCTGCCCACATATTGATCTCTCATTAAAATCAGTCCTTTATGTCTGTGATGTGTGCTTCAGTGATTACATGTTAATTATAGAACCGAAGCAGCACCAAGTGATTTTTCCACGCAGGCTCTTCCTCGTCCTCTAAAACAGACTTCATGAGAACACATGACTCATTCAGCCAGTTAACAGCAACTTCCTGCTGATCACAGCGGGAGGAGACTTGATTATGAAAACCTCTGCAGCTTTACAAGACACTTCACAGCTTGTATTGGAGTTGAAAAACATGTGCAGATGAGCAGTGGTGGAGGAAGTGAATACCTCACTGTAAGACTTTGTTTCAAGTAAAAGTCCTCCATTGAAAATGTTACTTCACTAAAAGTATGTCGGTATAATCAGGAAATTGTAGTTAAAAGTATTAAAAGTATAAATATGTCCCCTGTGATATATAGATATAATATCATTAGATTATTATTACTCACGCATTAATGTCAAAGCAGGATTTTACTGTTGTAGGTGTTTGAGGTGGAGCTCATTTTGAATTATTAACTAATTATTATTTTCAGTATGGATTAATCTGCTGATTATTTTCTCCATTTATCGATTTGGTTTGCAAAAACGGTGAAAATAGTGAGAAATGCCGTCACAATTACCCAGAGCCCAAGGGGAAACCTTCACAATGTTTATTTTGTCCAACCAACAGTCCGAACCTCAACACTATTATTTGTACATTTCAATTATTAACATTATTAAAAGGAAAAGCAGCAAATCTGTATGAAAAATTACTTCATCAAAATAGTCACCAATTAATTAGCTGTCACTCGTCTAATTTAATTAATGGACTACACTACCTGTGTGTGTGTGTGGGTGTGTGTGCGTGTGTGTGTGTGTGTGTGTGTTGCAGGAGTCGCAGCCTGCGGACGCCGGCCAACATGTTCATCATTAACTTGGCGATCACAGACTTACTGATGTGCGTCACCCAGGCGCCCATCTTCTTCACCACCAGCATGCACAAGAGGTGGATCTTCGGAGAGAAAGGTACCCCACTGCACACTCACACACACACACACACACACACACACACACACATTTCCAGTAAACCCCGAACATAAACTCGCAGAGTCTTGAAACTTAAAGCAGTTTCTCACACATTTCTTTGGTGTGTTCTTGCTGCAGAACGTAAAGATGAGTCGATCCGGTCTTATCTCCCTCCACCGTCACTCTTTCACATCTGTTTTCATTGTGAATTAGTGAACTTAAGCTCAGAGAAAACAGTCGATGCTCCTCAGTCTCCCTAGAGAGAGACGCTCCGAGGTCATTTTAGTACGAGGGAGGTGTTGACTTGCAGCTTTTTATTAATATAACCTGAGTTAACACCTGCAAGCCCTGCCAAATATTTTATTTCACATTAAATAATTTCCTTCCTGTGTGTTTGGGTTTCAAGGGTCAGTTCACCCATTTCACAAAAGGAAAACAATTCTCTTGTCTCTTCTAGTATCGCTTCATGCAGATGGTTTTGGTTATATTTTCCTCGAGATGTTTTATTGAATGGAAGTTAATCAGAGGCTTTCCTTTACCAAGAATTAACTCTGTCAAGCTGCAGAGAATAGATCAGTTCATTAAGCCACACTTTAACTGATTAAGCTCTAAGAGAGGAGGTTGTTGTGTCTTCCTGAAGTTTAACGTTAGCTCTGAGGTTCCCAAAACTGTTCATACAGAATGAGGTTCAACAATAGAAATGTATTCAGTATCGCAGAGAAGTTTCTAAAGATCCCACAGCAATAATGTTATAATTTCAGACAAAGTACAAAGCTGTGCTTTTGTTGCCTTGATTTTCCTCAATGTCCATCCAGAATAAAGAGACAGACAGACAGACAGACAGACAGACAGATAGAAAGACAGATGTTGATACTAATTATTATCAGTATCATTGTTAAATGAAAATGACAATATTCTTCATCTGCCCGTCTATAGGCTGCGAGCTGTACGCGTTCTGCGGCGCTCTCTTCGGGATCTGCTCCATGATCACACTGACGGTGATCGCTGTCGACCGCTACTTCGTCATCACGCGACCCCTGACCTCCATCGGTGTGTTGTCGCGAAAACGGGCCCTCCTCATCCTCCTGGGGGCCTGGTTCTACTCTCTGGGCTGGAGCCTGCCGCCGTTCTTTGGCTGGAGTGAGTACACACACACACACACACACACTCTGCTGCACATAAATCCGCTCTGTTCTGCCTCAAAGCTTTTTCTATCTTATCAAACTTATTGCTCATTTACCCTTCAAATCCCATTTATTATCAGTTCAACTTCACACACACGCACACACATGCACACACACACACACACACACACACACTCTACATGTGGTGTGTTTTCTTCTTCCTCTCACCTGGTTTTCATTCTCTCTCTCACACACACTTGAATGTAAATTATAATATATGGAAACAGAAAATCTCCTATAAATCTTGTCCAAACAGAAAACCCCTGATAGCGGTGACAGTTCACAGGGACTAGACTGGAGCCAGATGGGGGCCAGCTGTTGTTTTAGGGGGGTCAGTTAAATGAAACTAGGAGCTCATTTTAGCAGCAGCAGAGTGAGACAGGTCATCTATAAAAAGAAGATGTAGGACAATGTGGCTCTATTGGTGTTATACATATTATCGACATATTATCAAATACAATTGGACAACAGATAAATATTTACATCTGAAAGACACAATGCTCATAAAGCACAGATACAAAGGATACCAACTTTCTTCCTTTTCAGTAGACTTCTGTGAGGGTGCAATACCGTGTTTGACCACAAACACTGGCTGACATGTAGCAGAACACAGAGGGGGCGCTGTTTCACATGTTTGAGGAAACTCCTGAAATAAGGGGAACATATTGCTGTGACAAACAGCTGAGTGTCTATTATTTGACAAAACATAAGGTGAATGGATGCTGCATTTCAGTGGGGTCCGGGACTCGCCGCTGGCCCCCGCCTCAAAGAGCATGATGGGATATTAAAACTCTCTGTCTGTCTCCATGTCTCTCGCCCCTCAGGTGCCTATGTCCCTGAGGGCCTGCTGACTTCCTGCTCGTGGGACTACATGACCTTTACCCCATCGGTGCGAGCGTACACCATGCTGCTCTTCATCTTCGTCTTCTTCCTGCCGCTCTTCATCATCATCTACTGCTACTTCTTCATCTTCCGCGCCATCCGCATCACCAACCGGTCTGTGTGTTTGGTGTTTTTTGTGTGTTTTATTTACGTTTTTGTCCGTTGCTGTGTGTCTTTTTTGTAATTTATTTTTCCTGTATTTATAAAAGGAGTAACTTAGTTGTAATTGATTTTTCTTCTGCATCTTATGTCCCACACACATTTTTTTCTTCTTTTTGGAACAGAAAAGAACATAAATAATGAGTTTCATTAATCTGTGTTCCACCCTCCCTGTTGTAAAGCAGATTATGTAGGTCTATACTCTAGGTAGGTCTATAGTTTGTTGATACATTAAAAAGGTAAAACTGATTTAAGAAATGAAGCCAACAGTTTCTTATTGTCGTGTAACAAGCAAACAGCCTTTTGGATCTGTGCAACTTAAAATGTCTGAAAAAGAGCCTTAGTTCAGGATAAACCTTCATTAAAAGAATGTGGGTCAACACATTGTACACACAGGTATAGATATAAAAAGTTTGTGTGTGTTTCAGGGCTGTGGGGAAGGTTAACGGCAGCATTCACAGTCACGGCAGCAGTCGAGACTCGTCGAAGAAATTCCACCGGCTGCAGAACGAGTGGAAGATGGCGAAGATCGCTCTGATCGTCATCCTGCTCTACGTCGTCTCCTGGTCGCCATACTCCGCCGTCGCTCTCACCGCCTTCGCCGGGTACAAAATCACCAGCAGCAGAAAACCTCTCACTCACTCTGCAGCAGGAAATTGTATTTGCAATAAAAAAAAAACGAGTCTAGAAGTTGACCCGCATGTTCTCAAAATCCACTCAGAATGTTGCGTTGTCCAAGTCTGTGTCCCACCGGTTGAGAATCGCTCATTTATTGGATGAGAATTAGACCCCCGTTGCCCTATTTGCTGCTGAAGTGTCCATGAGCAAAGTTTCTTCTGTTTCCTCACTGTTATTACTTTGTTTCTCTGCTACAGGTACGCAGACATGTTGACTCCCTACATGAACTCTGTGCCCGCCATCATCGCCAAGGCCTCCGCCATCCACAACCCCATCATCTACGCCATCACACACCCAAAATACAGGTACACACACACACACACGGTTGAACAATATCTACAACGCTCTTGATGTTTTTCTTCTTTCCTTCAATACTGACTATTTTAACAGAGATTTTAAAAAAGAGTAAAATTCAGACACTGAATGAATTATTTACATTCAAAATAGATTCGGTCCCAAAAGAAGAAGATTCAAACTTTAGTTGATGTCCCCACAGGGTTGCATGACAGGGAAGACTACTGTTGGAAGTTGGATTTTGAATTAGTTTTTCAGTAAGTTCAGCTGATTTTACAATAGTGCTTAACACTACACTAACCTTGTATTTATATTTTGATATAGTTTGAAGAAGAACTTTGCTAAAGCAACACGTTGCCGGTTAGTTCAATCTTGTTATTTGCTACCTTACTGTTTTTATTTGAATCTGCTTACATCTTGATGCCAAGCTTCCAGTTTCTTTAACCAATGACTGGTGATTTCTTTTGAATTTGACTGCAGCTAACATGGCTGCAGCTCAGTGAATTGATTCAATCAGAGAATGCTCCGCCGGCACTGCAAGAGCTCCGACACCTCATCTGAACTAACCGCTGCTCGATTAACCTGAATGTTAACTCGACCGGAGAGAATTAGTCACACACAGACACATACGAAGAGATTTGAAAGCTGCAGGATGAAAATAAAACAGCTTATATAACTGTAGTTATTTATTGGTGAAGGAAAAGTAGTGCGTTGACCATGAAGAGTCAACTTCGGCCTTTCGGGTCACCGTGCTTGCAATATGCTGGTGGAAACCCTGGGTTTTACTTGGGGCCCTTTATCAGGGGCCCTCTATCTAGCTGGGGGACCCGTGCGATCGGCCACCTTGTCTAATGGTATTATGATCTCTCTCTGTGCAGGATAGCGTTAGCTAAGTACATCCCGTGTCTCGGCATTCTGCTCTGCGTTCGTCCTCGCGACATCCACTCGACCAGCAGCAGCTTCAGGTCGACGCGACGCTCCACCGTGACCAGCCAGACCTCCGACATCAGCAGCCAGCTGATGCGGCAGAGCAACCGCAAGTCCCGCCACTCCTCCGTCTCCGACAGCGAATCGGTGAGCTGGGAAACGGAACCGTGACGTCATATGTAGCGATGTAACACAGATTGTGTGTGTCAAAGTGTGTGTTTTCTTCTGAAAGGTTCTGACGGACACTGAGGCTGAGCTCTCCAGTATGGGCTCCAGACCAGCCAGCCGCCAGGTGTCCTGTGACATCAGCAGAGACACCGCCGAGCTCCCAGAATTCAAACCCTCCTCCAGCTTCAAGTCCAAGATGAAGAGCCACGACTCGGGCATCTTCGAAAAAGTAAACGCCTCTTCGACTCCTTCGATTTGATTGTTGGTGCTTTAAGGATTTTTCAGCTCTTCAAATATGGCTTGAAATGTGGTCGACCTTCAGGCCGCTTGACAACAGCTGGAGTCGGATAAAACAGCAGAAGGTTTAGACCTTTTAAAAAGATTCTTAATGTAGATTATTATTATTATGTTACTCTCAGCGGAGGAGGGGGATGTTAGGGGGTCACCTGAGGGGGAGTCGCAGGGATTCGGGGTTATTTCGAGGGTCAGTTGAGGAGGTTTGTGTGCGGTGAAAGAAAAACATCTTCTTTCATAACACCGGTGTTCATGTTAATGTGTTGCACTGTGTTTTTTGTGCTCTTTAATCTGCTTGATGTGCTTTTCATCTCGGATCAGAAAATCTCTCTTTTCCTTTTGATGTTAATCATTGACTGAAATCTGTATTTTTTTTAAAGCTGTGTTAAAATTCTGGGTAATTGATTAGAGATGAGTGTGATGGTTTTCTGTCTGCCTCTCTGATGCTGATGCATTTCATTAAAATCTAATTTAGGTGTATATAATGATCTAATTATCTTATCTAATATTAATGTTGAGGAGGACTTCATGGCTGCCGCTGCAGGATGCTGGTTAGTCAGTATGATAATGTAATAATCCCCTCACAGGTTTACATGTGTTTGTTTTTTCTTTCAGACGTCCTTTGACACTGATATCTCCATGGCAGGAGTCGGGGAACGCGGCAGCATCCCAAATGTGAGTACTGTCGGATTTATTCATCAGCACAAACACAATGAATTATCAAATCTTTGTTTTACTTGTTTCCATTTCAAATAAACAAGATATAGTAAAGTATTTATTACATGTTATACTTCTGATTTTGGCGATGTCATTGCGATTCTAGATATCAGATATCAGAGTATATAAACCCCAAAATGTTGCTGAACTTGTATTTGATACTGCTCTGACATTAGTATAATACAATTCTGGTAATTGAGTTAATAATATTAGTGCAGAGAGATTTATTTACCTAAAACATCAGGCTCAATGCGACACTTACAGGATGAAACCAACAACATCATCAGGTCAACATTTTAATTCGTCCAACACTGATTTGTGACTTAATACCTGCAAAACCAATGGCATTCCAATCAGCCCCTGCTGTGTACTTTGGTCCAATCCAGATAAAAAACACAACATGAATGATGGATTTTCATAAAACTCTTAAAAAGTTAAAAGCAAAATAATCATAAAAATAAAATGATGACTGTATGTTTTCTGTTTGACAGACGGATATTGCAGAGGGACACGTTAGGAGGGGCACGATTGGTCGAATCCCGAGCATCGTCATCACCTCGGAGTCCAGCCCCTTCCTCCCCACTGGACGGAATGGTTCCTGCACTGCTCGCCCAAAGACAGCCAATAACAGCAACTCGGGGGCGGGGTCTGGGTAGAGCACCTGCAGCCATGTGATCAGCTCACGTCCAGTCAGATGTTTAGAAATGTAGACAGGGTTCACCTGTAGATCAGAAACAAACTACAGTATTACAGGAAGTCATGATTACATTTCTGAGCGAGTCTTTTCACCTCGTAGAGAATTTATGTCAATTTCTTTTGAATTTAGTTTTCACTTGAACACAGAGAGTGACCAATGAAATGACAACAGACAGTTTAAGTGGTATCAATTAAAGAGCAACTTGTATAAGCTTGAACATACACCCTTCACATATTGTAAAAAATGATTGCACCAGTGTGCAGAATTAAGTGAAGGCAAAATGTAGAGGGGTGACATTAAACACAGAGTTGCAAACTCTTAAAAGCATTGTGCAGTTTTTGCGGCTGCTAAACCTGCACAAATAAAACAAAAGAAACCTGTGTAAATCTCAAAGCATCCACAAAGGGTGAAATGCACCCCTGTGCTATTTCTATGTATTTAAATGATGTAATATTCATGTGCATTTGGCACAAAATTGGTCCCTTTCTATATGCAAATGAGCCAAAAAAAGTCAAATTTACAAAAATTCGGGCTAATAGCCACACGCAGTTATAGTGAAATTATTGGCGTCCTCAGAGAGTTGGTGGTAACTGAAGCACAGTTATTAGGGGTGTCACGCCCAGCAGTGGTTATTGCCAGGCAAAGGTATTTTCATGCTCTGCTTAAACTCATATGCATTAAAAATAAATGCATGAAGCTCCCTACGTATACTTTTTGGAAAATTATAGAGAAAAAATTAAAAACAAGGTCATTATTTAAACAGGGAAAAAAATAATTATTTCTTCCCTCTCTGCAAAAAAGGACAAATTGCATTCAGCTGCAAAACTTTTTGGGTGTTTTTGCACTTGCATCATTAGCGCAATTTCCTGTGAATCGGACCTTGAGACGGAGCAGATAACAGTTGCAATTAATACCACAATCGATTCCTTAGTTGAGCAAGTCGTAAGCTAGTTAATGCAGAACTTTGCAACAAATATCGTAATCTTAAACCGATAGCTGTGTTGATGCCAAGTCTTATGACACTCATGTGTAGCAGGCTTTGTCAACCAATCAGGGCGGAAACGTTTCACTTTAGCCAGCCATAGCAACTGGAAGTTAAAAGACAGAACAGGAAATCCAGAATTGGTAAAAAAAAAAAGGCCCAGATCTGAGTGAGCATGACGGTGTCTTTACGGTAGAGACAATGTCACAGACTCATTGATCTCTGGATACGTTGCTCTTTAGAAATACTGTGAATTATTGGTTAGAGAATTAAAATCACCCTAAAATACCTATGTTGGTTTATTTACTTTTTACTTTTATGCTACAGACACTCAAGGTGTTTTTAGTTATTCTGTTTGGTTAGACCCGAGTGTATAGAAAGTATAAACAAATGCAAAGTGTAAGAGAGTCCACACAGTCTGGAGAAGGAGGTCTAGTCAGACAATTTGAATTAAAACACCTGTGAGGAAAGACATTTTTTTATGGTTCTGAAGCCAAACTTTTTTGCTTTTAGTTTAACCCAAAGAAACTCATGTTCCTGCACCTGATCTCTTGTCCCTGTTTTAGATGGATGCAAACAGACTGGTTGTGTTTGTCTTAGTTCCTCTGAGACAAGTGAAGGCCCTGAGCCCGTTGAAATGGAGTTTTTTTTGCAGTGGACTATGAGATTTTTCTACAAAGAAAAAAATACTGTTTCCTTTTTGTGTTCTTGTTGTCTGTTGCTTTTGATTTATTTATCCGTGTGTTTCCATCTTAATCCTCTGCAGTTTTTCTTTTCTGTGTAAACTTAAGAACTGAGATACTATATGAAAACAACTTCACTTGGTATAGAAGTAGCCTGGAAAAGGAGAAACAGCTAAATAAAATTAGTTTTCAAGGAATGTAACTGCTTGATCATTTGGGAAATCCTCTTGCTATATCATTTCAAATAGATGTTTCCACTTTTGCTGATGCTAAGCTAGCTGCAGTTTTCCTCTGCTTCCACGTTTGGTAATAAACTAAGCCAAACGGACCCTGGACTTGCAGTAGGCCTACATCTGTACTGGACACACAGAGATGTGACTGATTTCTACTTCAGTGTTGAATAATCTCTGGGTATGATAACAATCGATAGAATTTTCCAAAACGTCACGTTAATTCAAATGTTTCTCCTTATCGCACTTAATCCTAAAAGCCCTGAGGCCTGCAATTGCACTTTTATTAAGGAACAAGATATTTGAAATGTTTCACTGTTGTTCAGTTTGTGTTTTTCATCCTGTTCGTGTTTTTTTTCATTCTTCTTCTTGATTGCATATTTAAAGTGTGTATTTTGCTGAAGGACAGTTTAGAGGAAATGTGATTGTGATGTTGTTGGTGTTGGTACGGGGCTGAATAAGGGACATAATTGTTGCTCGTAAAGCAGCTCTTGATAAGCCCATCTGACCTGTTGGTCTGGGTGAAGTTATTTGTGCATTCTTTAAGAGTCTATTTGAATGTTTCTATACAATAAAACAGTCAACACATGACACGTTTTCTGCTGCAGTTTGCATTATTTCAAGTTAATAAAAGTAACTGAACCACAAGCCAAGTGGAACTAAGCTAAATCGTTAGCTAACCTAATCAAAAATGTTTTAAGAGTCAAACTGCTGTTAAGCTGTTTTCTTGGTAAACCGACCTTTAGCTAAAATGAAACTGTTTATTAAGCTGTTTAACTGAAACATTAACCAAACCAAACTAAGCTTTGATTGAAATATTTTAGGCCTGAGGTCTGCAGTAACACACGTCTCTACTGTATGTCAGCGTAAACTAGTGTCCTAATCATTCCTACTGGTATCGGAAAGAAGGAAGTACTCTACAGTATAATGCTGCAGCAGTGTGATGCAGTAAATATTAGTAATAATACTGAATATAAATGGAGGTGTTTTTCAACTTAGTTCTGGTGTAAAGTTTGTGGTCCAAAAGACTTTTGTTGGAATACGGAAAAGAGAATTTATTGTGGATTTGTTTCCTGTTAACTTCAATGTTGGTCTCATTTATTTTTCTAAATAAATATCTATTATTAACTGTATTCATTGTGGAATGCCTCTATTTGTGTCTTCATCTCTGCAGAGACAGAAATTACATAGGCTACACTGCCAATTTGCATGTTTTAAAATGAAATGGCTACTGCTGTAAAAACGCAGACCATAAATAACATCAGAAATTATGATTCGAATTAAAATCACAATATTTGTAAGTGTAAACTTAATTTCACAAATACATATTTATATTAGAAAGATGAAGAAAATGCAATGTTCTGTAAATAAATAAAATATTCTTGTGTTGTGTGCATTTTTATAGTGTTATCTGGATGTATTTCAGTTTTTCACCAGCAGTCTGTCTGACTCCTGTCTCTTTAAATAGAAACCCCGCTAATGATAATCCACCGTTAACACCCCTCTTTCCCGTCTTCCCCTCGGCCTCCCTGCTCTCTGCCCGGGCCGGGCACCGCAGGTTGTCACGGTCGGTGTGTTCGGTTCCAGAAGCTGCAGGGAGACAAACAGCGGCTGCAGGTAGGCTGTTCCCCTATCACACCTTTTCCCACCTGTTTGTGCCCCCACGTGCCACTGCTCTCTAATCCACTTCTACATCTTCACCAGGAGCAGCCGGTAACAAGTTGCACCACCCCCGCCCGCTGAAGCTGCTGCTGTTTTTTAGTTTTTTTTCCAGGTTTAAAGTTTCATCTTCGGTTTGTTTTGCTCTCAGGTTGTGCACGGAGCGGCCCTGCTGGGCGGAGCACAGTGCGGGAAGCTGCAGGAGCAGGTGGGCGGTGTCTGTCTGCAGAACACCTGAGATACAAGGTGAACACATTCATTCATGAATCAGATGGTAACAGCTTGTGTACAAGAACATTGGCCACTCACTAGAAAACAAACTATTAAACTATAAATCATTCATGGGTCCCGCTTTACCAAACACAAACAATAGTTTAACGGCATAAAATACACAGCAGAATAGTTCATCATAAAAATAATCATTAGTTAATAGTTCAAGATTAGCTCCAGCTAAACCAACTACAACAATACAATCCTAATTTACATTAGTGCATAAGTAATAATAATCTATTGATGTAATATATAATAGTAGAACAGTCACAAGGGACATTTTTTATTGTTTTAATACTTTAAACATTTTCCTAGTCATACTTACATACTTTTTTATGTACGGTACATTTTAAATGCTGGACTTTTTACTTGTACCAGAGTATTTTTACAGTATGGTATTAATACTGAAGTAAAGGATCTGAATACTTCCTCCACCACAGGAGGTGCGAGTGCAAATTTAGACCGTAAGTATTGTTTTCAGTTCACGACATTTTGGAGATTCAAGTTTAGAAAGCAAACTGAGCCAACTGCTCATAGAGAGCAGTGAGCAGCGCCTAAACAATTCACAGCTACATGAGGAGGGTGGTAAATAGTGTGTGTGTGCGTGCGCGTGCGTGTGAGATGAAAGCGGAGGGTGGTGTGATAGTGGATCTCTCTCAGCATTAACAACACATAACTGACCTCAGATCACTTGTGAATAGTTTGTCATTTTAAACAGCTTCTTAATTGAGCCGCCTTGTTAAGTTAAAGGTCAGTTCAGGTCAGTACACAAACACACACACACACACACACACACACACAAACACAAACACACAAACGGGAGTTTGTGTGTGTGTTTTATATTCACCATGAGGGAATGCTTGCTCCTACTTAGAGGACGATGTGGGTTCCTGGTTGGCCTATTCATGCATTCACATGCAGTGGTTACCACTTTGTATTGAAAAATATAAACACAAGTGAAAGTACGTCCAAATTTTACTCAAGTACTGAACTTAAGTGTTGCGTCACCAAAAGCAGCGATGCACCTACAAAGGAGGTGTAACTAGCAAACATGGAAGTATAGATAAAGCACTATTTGAAATATTGCATCCAATTGCATCCATTTTTGGGGAGTAACATTGAATGTTATGTACTTATATTTATACCTCTTGGTCTGTTGCACCCTGGGAAAGCTCACTCCATCAGATTCCTCTCTGTGACAAAGGCGTCTAAACTTAGCCGGTGATATAACAGGCTGAGCAGATCAGGCTGCTCTGGGATCAGCCTGTCAGTCTCTGCCCCCCTACAGACATGTTACATCCTTTGAACTTTGTAACATTAACACATTTGGATAATTTTACATGTCAATATCGTTTAATTATTTTCCAACACAGTAGAGACATCTGTTAACAAAAGTCAGGCTGCAGATCAGGCTGGTCTTGACCAGTGTCACTGTGTCGGTCTTTTATTGTGAAAGGTGTCTCTGGTAGTGAATGACCAGCTGAATCAGCTTTATGTAGCTTTAAAGTGAGTTTCACAATTTTACTGTTCTGGTTCAATCTCACTGCTCTCATAGCGTCTTTCTAACAGAGAAAAAGCTGAAGTTAGAGTCCAGCTGGGGAACATAGTGGATTATTTAGGAGCTGAAAAGACAGATATTTCCCTCACGAGTTGGTGGGGACCAAAAACAGCTAAAAGAGAGAGAATATTAGACTTATTCTCATCAGATGGACACAAATAAGGTCAACATATCGACTTAAAAGTCCATTAACTCCAATGAGAGCAGTGAACGTGAACACAAATTATGACCCGATTCTTTCGCTTCATAGTCGCCAGAGTAAATATTGTTGGACCTGTTTTTCACAAAACACATATCTTCTGAACCTTGTTTTCACTAAAATCAAGATCTGGCAACTAATGTTCACGAACGCCCGAGCGAACCAATTCTTTGTCATGCTAAATATGGCGTCATCATAGAAGACAACATGAACAAAATAAAACAGGTATGAAAGGGTGAGTCCAACTGCAATGACAAGAGGGGTTATGGGTAATGAGTTGAGTACACTTATTTAACATAGTAATGTTTCTGTACCAATTACATGAAACCACACACGTGCTGACAGATCAGCTGTTTGTCAGGGAATTCTCACCTGTTAGCGCCTGCCAAAATGATAGACCATTACTCCGACATACATCTGTTACTCTACAGACAGAAGCTGTTTCCAGTTTGACTTGTCATCACAACTGCACAATGTCAACCTTCAATTATTTATTAGGAACATACAGTTAAAATACTGATACTGTGAAATCAAAGCCTGATACATCTTCTTCCTCTGTGCCATAGAGCTCTATTGTTTTCCAAAAAAAGACATCAATGAGCCTCACTGTTGCACTGGGCGACATGTTCCTTCATTACCAAGACCACACAGTTTATTTTTACTCAATCCCACACACACTGTCCTGCTGCCACAAATACTCACCAGAGCACCAAATGTGGATTAATCTGCCGCTGAAAATAGTCCCCAACAAATGCCCTATCACCCCCTTTTTGTTTGATTAAGAACTACAGTGACCAGCTGTTAAAGGAAACTACTGAGCTTTTTTTTTTGACATGAAATTATATCTTTGTGTTTTTAAAGATATATACGTCCTCAGTAGGAAGCAATGGGCTTGGAGCTGAGAGCCACAGACAGGAAGTCAGACGGTATTGAGAGATGGACTTTCAGTCATTTTTCAAGCAAAATATTCTTTGTTTTTGCTGCTTTTCTTTGACATATATGATAATAAACTTGAGTATATTTCAGGTTCAGACTGAAATCAGGGCTTTACAGGCCGCGGCTCATTGACTGCTGGATATGCTGATGTTAGAACCAAACTCCCTGCAGCACATCTGGGACCAGAAGCCAAGCAAGAGGCACAGGTTTTCGAACAGGCTATCGGGACGTGCACTAGTATCTAAAAAAAGATTCATACTGTTTATTGACCACGCAGATCTCGTGGAGCAGGCTGTGGTATGATGCCTCGCTGCAGGGAACTCCAGCAGTGACATATGGGGGAATTGAACCGGCAACCTCGCCGTAATGACCTATCTGCTGCTGACCTTTCAGCTATCGGAGCCACTTAACTCGTGGCATTTCAGTTTGGGCTATTATCACCAGGACGATAATGAGACGTTTCCTGGCATCACCCCTGATTGGGTCCGAGGGAGACCCTGAGCGTGAGGGAGGGAGGGAGGGATGGGAGGGGGCTGAGGTGAGGGAGTCTAGAAGAGTCCGCTGGGTCTATATTGGCCCCGGTGAATCACGGCGAGCCTGGCATACTGGGTGTCCCCTTTCAAACCATATAAGTCCACCCCCCCCTCCTTTTCCCTTCGATCTCCCCCGCCCCTGCCTCACCCTGCATCACCCCGCCTCACCCCTCCACCCCCTACAATGCACCAATGCTATCTCTGGCTATTCTTAGGCTGTCACTTCAGCTCCTCTGAACAGGCAAGTTCTCTTCTGTCTCCTCTCTCAGTTTCTTCTTCTTTCTTTCTCTCATAATTTTGGTTCGTGCACTTCACACATTTAAAAAAAAAATTTATTTTCAGGTTTTTTCTTCATCATTTCACTTATGTAGTATCTTTTCTCTGTTTCCTTCTAGAGGCTACTCGGTGCCGGCCATCCCTCCAGCAGCTGTAGGGTTTTAAAATAAAAGTTGGTTTAATCACCGTCGTCCATTTCGGAGGATCTTTTAGTCGCCTGGAACAATGAGCGCCTACACCGTGTCATTGCCCGGCCCCGGGCCCTGGGGCTTCAGGCTGCAGGGGGGCAAGGACTTCAACATGCCGCTGACCATCTCCAGGGTAAGAAACTGATTTTTTTAAAAACTACTTTTTTAGTTCAGGATTTTTTATTTTTCATCTCAACTGCAATTCCTCCATTAGCAGGTGCACCTGAATTCAGTTTGCTTTCTGTTTGGCCTGCTTTTTCTGTCGGTATTTTTTGCATGTGTAAATAATTTTAATGTTTTTTTATCTTCAACAGTGGGAATAAAAAAATCTAGTTTTATCAAGTAATATATTCTTAATAATATTCTATCTCTGAAGTCTTATCTTCTTAAAAACAAGTGAAATAAATCTGTTGGTGCAGTAAGAATATCTCAACCGGTTTCTAATCAAAATAAGCTAATTTGATGAATGTTCTATGTGTGTATGTATGTATCTTGAAACATAAAAGATGGAGGCCGGGCCTCCTGGTGGCCAAAGGGATTAGGACGCGGGTCGTGTAATTGAAACGTCCCCGGTTGGAGTTTTGCAGGAAACCTTTGTTGCATGTCCTCATTTCCTGTTATCGCTCTTCTTCAAAATACGAAGCCACCAAAAATACTTAAAAGAAAGAACAAGGCAGCTTTGTTTGTATGGCACCTTTTCAAAATATTCAAAGTGCTTTACATAAGAAGAGAAAATGCATAAGAACAACATTCAAAAAAGGAAATTTAAATCAATTAAAATCAGACTAACGCAATAGTCAATGAATTTAATGAAACTGGAAGATGTGTTTACTTGGAATATAATGATTTCAAGGATGCTGTTGCATACATTAGTGATTTCATAAGAAGGATATTTTTTCATTTCAAGGTGATTTGGATGAAAATCTAAATCACCTTGCTGAAACCTTTTTATTTTATTTTTGTCGAAGTTCTTTTATTTGAGTTTTAATGAAACCAGTCAAATAAATCACAGAGTGGTCGTGTAACTTTAACGATAAGTGTAGACATGTAGTTAACAGCAAGGCGCTTTCCAAGTTGATTTTCAAAGCTGAATGAATGGAAACCAATGGCTGCAGAGAATTCCTTTAAATCTGCTCTGGGAACCTGAAACTGCAGTTTTTTTGCGGTCACCTGTTTCCTGTTTCATGTTGATTATTTGTTTCCGGCTCTTTTCTGTTTTTTTGAAAAAGGGGTTTTGATGATAAAGTGTGATTTGCGGATGATTCAGAATCACACATGCAGCCTGTCGGGGTGAGACCTGCAGGGCGTAACGGCTGCCAGGATTTGTCAGGGAGGCCGAAAGCAGAGCCGGAGGCCTAAAACTGGAGCTGGTGTTGGTTTCACAGCCTTGTCTCTCTGAATAGAGCAGAGACGGAGAGAGGAAACGCTCCTCCACTTCTTCTTCTCTGAATCTGCTGCATGCGTTGTCAGGATGCTGTGATCCTTGACCTTTTGAACTTCTCTCTGTTGGCGATTCAGGCGTTGAGGCTCATGCGAGCTGCTCTGGGTAACGGAGGAATTTTCTGTTTGCTTTTCCGACACATTATCTGCTTGCTGTTGTCGGGGATATGCTTGTGACCGACTGCCATCTGCAGATCTGTGCAGAAGGTGGACGATTCATGTTGATGGGAAAAAGATCTGCAGCTCTTTGTGGTTTGTGATAGCTGCAAGTTCAAATAAAGCCCTGGCAAGAAAATAGAAAAAGGCTAAATTAACGTTGGTGGTTTATTGAGATGCTGGATGTTACGTGGTGCAAGTTTTTACAGAAAGCATTGGAAAGTTGTTGAGCATATGACATCAATGACACAATAATGTGGACTTTTGTCAAATCTTGTGTATACTCCTGTCAGTGTGTATGTCATAAACACTACATTATATTCTTTATGGACTCTATTGTCCTTCAGTGTAATGCACAAAGGAAATGGAGGCACTTTAAATACATCCATGGATCTTAGAAGTCATAGAAAAAAAGACAGAACTTCATCATGTTTTTTAAGTTTTCTTCAGTTTCAAAACAATCCAATGCCAGCTGTCTGTACCTCTATGGCTTCACTGCAAACAGGATCTGCTAACGGATCATTCTGCATACTTGTAACGGTGCACTCGGATGGAAACTTCAAGCCTCCATTCGGCCTTTATCTTTTCATTTCACCTTTGCTGACAAAACATGTTGTACTGTAAACAGCTGTGGTTTGTCTTCCAACATGGCCGCGGGATGATGTCACGGAATACTATGAAGCTCAGAGAGAAACAGAGGGGAAGCTCCTCGTCAGCTGTTCCTGAATGACTGAGACTGCTGTTGGTGTGTGTGTGTGTGTGTGTGTGTGTGTGTCAGCTGCTGGATGTCATTGTGTCGGTTCAGTGTGACGTTCAGCCAAAAGTCACGGACTCATTGTGCTCTGATCTGATTTGTTTGATCGATGAGATCTAATCAATACGCTGCACTAATCTTTTATGGATGTTTATGGCTTCAATTAACTGTGTGGCAGCGCTAGCCGCCATCATAGTATCTGTAGTAGTTACAGTGAATTAGTAGTTTGCAGTGGAAAATAGCTAAGTACATTTACTCAGTTTCTGTACTTTACAGTTTTGAGGTACTTTACTTGAGTTATTATATTTTGTGTTACTTCTACTCCCCAACATTAGAGTTAAAAAGTTAAGAAATTACATCAGATGGATGCGATTAGTGATATATAAACTGCTTCAACATATAATGTTTTGATTTTATTCAGTCATCATTCTTCTAACAGGCTGTGTGCAGCTCTGCACCATTCAGACGATATGATTTAGATTTAGAAACTCTCCATTTGTTAATAATGTGACTGGCTGAGAGAGTATTTAATATTCACCAAACCCGACGATCTGTATGCACTGCACAAGACCTACTCATTCAATCATTCATTGCAATTTGGGCATGAAAAAAGTACTCCCTCCGCCTCTGACTTGTTCTGCACTTGTTTGCATACTGTGTGTGTGTGTGTGTGTGTGTGTGTGTGTGGGTGGAACAGAAAAGCCTGTTAGACACGCATAAATCCGCATTCACTACAAATGTACCCATATTACTGAAATAAACACAAGCCCACACACACACTGATAACGACACAAAAAGCCTGGGCTTTGTTGGGAAAAAGCATCCCCATCTCAGTGTGCGGTGCGATGTGGCTCTAATCTGCCGTCGGTGTGACAGCAGACGTGCTCTTTGAATTTGATTTACGCTGCGTTTTCTGCCACTGGCGACTTTTATGCTGCATGCCAGAGAGTTTGTGGACGAGCGAGGGACGGCAGATGCTTTCCATCATCCCGCTGGGCTCGGGGCTTCATTGTCTCCTCAGGTTCAGCGGTTCAGAGCAGCATGTTCAGGGAGCATACGTAAAACAGTGGGATAAACGAACAGATGAGGAAGAATCAGTCCCAATCTGTTGGATTCCTAATATTTAGATGGATGTTTTGTTTTCTATCCATCGATAAGTGGATTTTCGTTAGGATAACTCTGGTGATATTCTGTATTTTTCTTCATGTTCAGACTCGAACCAAAAGTGGTTCCTTCATTACCAAGAACACACACACTGTAGTTTATTTTGACTCAATCCCACACACTGTCCTGCTGCCACAAATGCTCATTAGAGCACCAAATGTGGCTGAAAGTAGTCCCTATTACCCTATTATTACCCTATTCCCTATTTTTGTTTGATTAAAAACAACAGCGACCAGCTGTTTTAGGAAATACTATATATATGAAACTATGTGTGTGTATGTGTATATATATATATATATATATATATATATATATATATCTCTTTTCAAAGATTTACATATTCAGTAGGAACCAATGCTCTTGAAGCTTGGGATTTTGTTGACAATAAAAATAAATAACAGCAGACTTGAACTTTAAGATTAAGCACCTTAAACATGCAGGCAGTGAAGTTTCAACAGCTCCTGTTGCACTACTTGTCAAAAACAAGCAGATGTCATCAGGTTAATAGTCTCCAACACAAGAGATACAGCTCTTTTGTGTGTTTGTCATAAATAGATTCAAAAACAATTGGCTGATATTTAGTGGAAAAATCTCTTAGCTTCGATAGTTTGAGTTAATGTGAGCTCAGATGCCTGAATAGAGGCTGCAGCTTCGAACAAATGCTTCTTGTCTTGTTTATTTTTTTAGAAGAACTTTATAAAAGCTTCACACTGGTTTCGTTTGTTAGTTTCCCCACACGGTCTTTAAGTTTTAATATGATTTCTCGCACTCAAGTGAACTCAGTAAGACATGGATGATCTCAGATGTCCCGGCAGGTTTTCACATGTCTCTTGGTTTTTCTCTCTGACCTGATGGATGTTCAGAAACCTGTACGCATTTCTTTTGCATTATTCTCAACTCTGCAATAAAGCAGACCGACATTTTCCCTGAAGAGCCGACTGAAATGTCAGGAGAGCGCTGAGTTTGAGTGGCAGGCGGATGAGAACAGAGAAACTGAACACAACTCTCGACACAAAAGGAATAAAGAACAAGAGGAAGGTTCGTGGATTAAAACTGCAGTGAGGGATCAAAAATGATGTGTGAACTACAACAACACCTCACGTCAGCCTTCAGATTACTCTCAGAAAGAATGAATAGAAATACTCAAAGTATATTAGAGCTCCTGTATCTCTTGTTTTAGTCCAAATAATCAGGTTTAATGTGAAAGCATTATTCAGTATTATGTAGATATCTGGCCTTATTATTTATTGCTGCATCTCTGCAACTGTGCTGCTTTATTTTGTAGCTGATACAAATAAATATCAAATAATTAGATAAATAATAGATTAAATAAAAAAATTTGTTTTAGATTTTGTAGCCACTGAATGACATAAACTTATTATGAATTCAACCTTCACATTCATTTCTTTGAGCCTGTGTTTTCAAATGATTTATTTTCACTCAGATAAACCTTTTAAACAATCCCACTCTGCAGACATTTGTGTGTAAGTTGTAGTGCAACTTGAATTCTCTATCTGTGTCGCTCTGAGCTGCTTAAATACAGTTTTACAGTCTGTTTGAAAGCCGAGTTCTCAGTAACTGGACTCCTGCTGTCACACATGGAGCTGACTCAGCGCTCAGTGAGCCCTTGATCCCACCGCATCCAGTTACAGATCAGGGGAACCCAAACGGCTTCACATCAGGGAACCCCAAATTTGATCCAGGACTGATCTGGATCTTTTCTAGATATAATTTGGTAGATTATGTCATCATGCTGCCGAAATACAGTTCTGTTACAGAAGGACAGATTATGCTTGTTTTCAGGGTCTGCAGGCATGGACTGATTACTGAGCGGGCATACAGGATACAGGCCCAGAGCCACCAGGGGCCCAAGGGTTCAGGGAGACCCCAGCTGGGCCAGATCCTCTTTCTGAAGTGACTAAAAATAAAATAAATAAGATGTATTATTATTACTGTTAACATTTATTGTGGAAAACTTAATCAGACATGCAAGAAACGACACAAAACGACTACAAAGAGACACTGAACAACCACAGTGACACAAAACAACATTGAAAAGAGACTTGAAACAACCACAAAGAGATGCAAAATGACTAGAAAGTTATGCAAAACATCCAAAAGTGATGCAAAATTACTATAAAACAAATGCTAAAGGGACAAAAAGACACGCTTGCTGGCTAACGAGATGCAAAACGACTTCAAAGATACGCCAGAGAACCACAGAGAGACACAAAACAGCTATGCAAAATGACTGCTAATACACTTATTCAAAACCACTTCAAAAGGGAACCAAAGCAAACATGTATGAATGGTCACTGCCACCAACAAGCCATGAAAATTGCAATTTTCCAGGTGATCTGTGCAGTAAAAATGTGAGTGAACATAATCTATTTTTTTGCCTCCACAAGTTGCACTTCTCACTGCTCCTACAGCACACGGACACTTGTAGCAGCAGCATACTGAGGCCTGCAGAGTGGCAGTGAGCGTCTGTGGCTGCTGACAGGCGGAAGGCTGTTTTTAGCCTGTGAAGGTCACACACACACACTCATACACACACACATACACATACAGACAGGTCTTATCAGCTCTTCTTCTACTGTTGCAGACCCACTCGGGTCAGTGTGTTCGATAAAATCCAGATTCATATTTTTAACTCTGGATGAAGAATCCAGGTTGTTGGCGGATGGAAGAGAATGCTTCATCACATAATGTACATAAATAATTTCACTTTCTCAATGGTTTTGCTAAGAAAACTGTCCAGTAGAGCTGCATATGTTGAAAATGTACTCGGTGTGGTGTGAACATAGGAAGTGCGTATGTGGGTCAGTGTCAATGGCTCAGAGGGAAAGTAGGCCACTCTGCAGTCGGGACAGGACTTGCATTGTTCAAACTCAGTGAGACAAACTCTCCAAACATTTGTTCACTTTAATCCAAAGCGGCTGTGATGAGATAATCTGGAATCTGAAATCAGATGGAGTCAGCAAACAGGAGGCTTCAACATGATGCATCAGAGTTTCCTGTAGGAAGTTATCTGACTGCAGCACTGCTGGGATTTGAATCCAGGATCTCCTGTTTACGAGACAGGCTCTTTAACCAACTAAGCCTCAGCAAACCTGTGAGTGTTGTCCCCCTGATAGTGTTAGCATAGAGGCGCTGTGGCTTAGTTGGTCAAAGTGCCTCTCTAGTGAACAGGAGGTCCTGGGTTCAAATCCCTGCAGTGCCTGCATGTTACTTTTCCATCCATGAAATGCAAGTTTACCTGTCATGCATGTGATGCGATATGTACAAAAATATTGAGGAAAATGTTGCACTTTAACCACCTAAGTCAGAGCATATCTTGCAGTGTTAAAGCTCCCTTTAACACTGCAAGATAAACTGGGACCGGCTCCCTGCTGTCCGTCACTGTCAGCGGCAGCTAACAGCTCGTCTCCAGGGGGCGATATTTCATTCCCGCCGCATTGACACGCATTCTGTGGAAATGTCAGCCGGATGAGTCAGAGTGAGATAAGAGCTGCAGCTAAGTGTCACAGCGCTATTTAAACTTTATCACTGACTGTGTGTGTGTGTGTGTGCGCGCGTGTGCATTTTACTGCTGTGGATATTTAAGGTTGAGCTTATTTTAACTACTTTATATCCTGTTGGCTAGTTTAATAGACAGCAATGATTCATATTCTATAAGATCATCAAATGTTCTCTGAGAACCACGTTTCTCTGAAAAGAAAAACGTTTTTTACCTTGTGACAATGCTGATATAAGAGGCTTTTTAAATAGTTTATTTAGCTTAAGGAGTTGGAAATTTTCTCAACACATAAAGGAACATTTCATGATTCAGTTTATCACAAACATTTAACATCAACACATCTGGAGGTATGTGGTTTTCACTGGATAGGGAGGAAATGAAAAACTAATCTGCAGAGTAACTAAAGCTGTCACATAAATGTAGTGAAGTGAAAAGAAAAATATTTAGCTTTGAAATTCAGTATGATTTGGTATAAAACGGAAATACTCAAGTAAAGTACAGTACAAATACTTAAGTACTTAAGTAGAGTACTTGAGTACATTCCACCACGGTCCTTCTCTTTGCCAACCTTCATCTTTTACCTCCCCATCCCGCATCTCCACCATCCCGGCCTCCAACCTAATCATGATCCTCCTTCTTCACCTCACCTCTTTCTTCTTCTACTCCTCCTCCACTCTCTCCTACAGCTGCAGAAGTCAAAGGTCACATTATTCAGACTGGAGATATAGTATAACTCCTGTGGATGGAAATTATGGAGAAGTTAAAAAAAGAAAGACAAAGCAAACAGGAGCAGGAGGGATTTTTGGGAGTAATCAGAGTGGATGTGACTCAGCGGGGGTTAGCGGTGTACAGACAGCTGTCTAGAGTTTAACACTCAGGCATGAACACTTGTGTCCCGGCATTGTGTTCGAGGCGCCACAGAGGCCACGAGGCTACAGACCGACTCTCTGAGTTAAAGGTCACAAGGTGAACACGTTCATTTGTTTCCATCCTGCTTAGAGTCTCACGCGTTATCTGATGGATGAAACTTCTCACTTTCTTTTTACAGTTTTGGGGTTGTTAACTTAAACACTCGCTAATCACTATTTATAGCCACGGTAGCGGCGTGTCAGCTAACTTGTCTGTTCACGACTTTGTTACAGACTGAAATATCTCAACTATTGTGATAATATGTGGTTCATACATTTCATGTTCCCCTCAGAATGAATTGTAATAATTTGTGTAATCCTCTGACTTTTCATCCAGCATTTTAATCTGTCCAATACTTTGGTTAATGACCAAATACCGGCAGAACTAATGACATTCCTTTCAGCCTCAGCTGTACTTTGAGTTTACTGATAATAAGCAAATGTTAGCATGCTAACTACTTGATTAACAGCTCAGAAATCACAGATGCTGTTTCATGCTAATTAGTCACAGGTTTAGGTGAAATCTCGTGAGCAGACAGACTGAAATACAAAGATAAGAGGGAGCAGATTTCTCCCAGTGAAAATAGTTCATGGACTCTCGTTGGTGTTGCTGTGTCTCCTTTTGAGGATGACACCTGATCTCACATAAGAAGTCTGTGATCCTCTGAAGTCACATTGGTTTTCTTCATGAAACAAATTTCAGATATTTTCAGTTAAAAATGTATACAGGATTTACAGCATTTAAAAATCCACCAAGTCTCTGAATTTCATACATTTTTAAATACATGTTAACAGTTTAATTTGAAGGCAGACTTGTTGACCGTTTTTGTTTGTGTAACTGTGTTGTGAATGAGGGTCAAAACTCCACTCCTGAGTTGGATTTTTAGATTAAGGGGACTTTAGCATATTAATCGTGAACTCATTAATTCAGTTCCCATTTGATTGATTGTTTCACGTGAAACAGTGAACCTTTTTCCATCCAGCTTTTCCTGATTATGTGATTGATAGATTCAGATTGACGTGTGCACTGACCTGTGGTGTAACTTGAACCTACCTCAGCACATCTCTAAAAGATGACATAAAGACAGGAAATGTTTACTATTCAATTAAACTTTTTTGTTCTTTATTTTTTAAACCAGAGTGGACTTTGTTTTGTTCTTGATTTGTTTGTGTCATCCCATCATGTGTCCGATTAAAGATTCTCAGAGCAAACATGAGATCTCAATGTCTTTGTTTTTGTGTTTGGACAGATCACTCCGGGCAGCAAAGCGGCGCAGGTTAACCTGGTCCAGGGTGATGTCATCGTCGCCATAGATGGCGTCGGCACCGACGGGATGACTCACCTGGAGGCCCAGAACAAGATCAAGATGGCTAACTACAACCTGGCGCTCACCATGACCAAGTAAGGGCAGAAACTAATGACTGAACTTAACTGTTTTTCTTTTCTTCTCTGTGCAAGAAATAGTTCCTGTTACTTCATCGACTCAACAAGAAATAGTTTTTAATACTTGATATTCTTCTCCTGTATTTCCAAACTAATTAACTTTTCATTAATTAAGTTAATTAGATTAGTTAAACCTCTGTGTCATCAGCATGGAAAGAGGTGCATTGTCTCCTGATGAAACCACCAAGGAATAATTGAAAGATTTAAAAAGTAGTGGCCCTAAAATTGCGGCTTGAGGAACCCCAAAAAATAGTTGGAGATATGAGTATTGATCATTTGTTGAAACAAAGAAAGATAAGAGGTGAACCAGTTTTTAAAAAGTGTCGTCTATTTGAAATAACGTTTTGATCAACTGAATGCAGCATTCCGATCAAGTAGAACCAAATTCAATCGCCTAATTGATGAATGGACTAATTGTTTCAGCTGTACTTAAACTGTTTTGGGGTTTAATTTACAACAAGACATCATATTTTATAAACTCTGCATATGCTTTATGCATACAAATCTTAATTTGTAAAATAACTAAAGCTGTCAGATAAATGTAGTGGAGTAGAAAGTAGCATGAAGAGAAAACACTGAAGTAATGTACAAGTATCTCAAATGTGTACATAAATACATTACCTAAGTGCATATACTTGGTTACATTCCACTACTGGTCTAATATTATAGTAATAATGGAGGATTATAGATGGATAGTTCTGAGGTTGCTGGGCATCTTAAATGCTTTAGGGTAAACAAAGGGAAAAGATGGCTGCTGCAGATATTGAACATCGGGCCGTTTTGGTGTCACTCAAGACCAAAATAGAGTGAAACCATCCTTCTGGTAACCTGAAGGTGTCTTACAGAAGAGATCAGATAAGCTCGGTGAGGAAATGAATGTTGGTCCACAGCAGTTTCATAACTGCAAACCCTCTGGGTGATGAAGATACGACGTTCGGCTGAGGATGAGGAGCCCTTTCTCATAATTTTTTCACGTCACTCGTGTTGTTTTTTAAGTGTAAAGTGGACATTGAGGTCTGTGGTGGGCTGCAGGACACAAAGGTCAGGAAATAGAGGTGACGCTTTGACACACAAAAATAATATATAAAGCTGTTTGACCCCTGTTGACCCTTATCACTCCCTCCTCTGATGAAATGTGTGACACAGAAAACACACAATCCACAGAATCACATTAAATACAATCAATTTTCAATTCAGGGTCACTGGGTGTTTTTTTCTTCTTCCAAGCAACACAAAATGACAGTTATAAATCACTCGGTTGGATTTGATCTGAGATTTCTAGACTCATTCCAGCAAGTCATCTAAAATAAACGACAGGATATACCGTTTACTACTTTCTCATTTCTCTCACCTTGAAGAATATGAGCAAGTACTGCGTGTGATAAACTGAAGGATAAAGTGTTCCTTTATGTGTTGAGAAAATCCTCCTAATTCTTAAGCTAAATAAACTATTTGAAATGCTTTCATCCCTTCATTCCAGGGTTAGGGTTAGATATTTTATAAATGGGACCAAATAAACGCATTAGGCAGAGTAAACAGGCTCTCGTTATTGTCCTCTCTTTAGTAAGACAAACAGAAAGTATGTTAGCCTTTCATATTCGATTCACTATTATAAGTAGGCTACAACTATTGAAAAAATACAAACATTCAGACTCCCTCATGTGGCCCAAAGGTGTACTGCAGATATATATGTAATAAAAGACTACGGAAGAAATTCTGCAAATTTGTTTGGAGACCGTAATGAAATCGCCTGCAACCCACCTGTGGGTCCCGACCCAGTCTTTGGGAAAGAATGCGCTACAACGCAGTCTGGTCCAGAGGGGTCCACTGTGTCCAAGACTGGTTGCCATATCTTAATAAATCGCTCGACATTGTTATGAAGAGCTTAGGTCAGCCTTTCCAGAGGGAGTATTCTCAGTATCTCCTTATACAATCGTCCAGTGCAGGGATGTCCTTAGAAGTTTGAGAATAGTCTTTCTTGGTACAACAATAAGTATTCCAAACAATTTATTATTATTGTTGTTCCTTGCACTGTCTACTTAAGCTGCTACAAAACACCGAAGAGGTGGTAGCTCCAAGTCACGTCAAACTAAGGTGATCACCTCATCTTTCACTTCTGTCCAAAATTATTTAGTATATTTTCACACTTCCAAAACGTGTGCATATGTGCCAATTTTGTGAATTGCTTTCAACACCTTTAGGAGAGCTTTGAACCAAACTTCTTCCTCACAAATGGTGTAGAGTACAATAAAGTATTTCACCTCCGAATAGTACGTTTGTTTTCTATAACTGATGCCCAGATATCTTCTTCTATCTGACATTCTCTATCAATCTTCCACTGCTTTCGGATGTGATCAGTACAATAATCATAAACTCATTGGTTGTCTGGATATGAATCGTTATGACGAAGCAAAGCATTGCAAACGAAAGTTAATCAAAAGTCATCTCACAGATCATCACCTCTGTGTTTCTTTTTCCTCTTGCAGGGCCAAGCGTCTTGCTCCGATGCAGACACCAAGAATCGACGTCTCTATCCCCATGATCCCACACCAACAGGTAACTTTACCCATAATGCATTTCTGCTGCTGCACATAACTGTACAGTAGATGGATGCTGTACCCAATGCGGCCTGGATACTGTGGTGAAACTGAACAGCTGCTATCTGGTATTGATCACACTGTTATGGCATACAATTTTAGCCAGCTAAATATGGAGTTTTGTCAGCACATGTATTGATTCTTTTTTTCTCCTTGTAAGCATCTAAATCAGGACGGTTCACTCCATAATCTCAGTTTCAGTCACACTAGTTCAATGTAATGAGTTGTCACCTCCTGGTGGCTGCAGGAAGAAGAACATGTACTTCATCCATGTTGTCAAAAAAAGTACCATCAGATAAATTCACATAAAGCACAACACACTTTGTTCTACTGGAAACCTCTCAAAAACCACTGGATGAACCCGAAGATGTAATGATCAATATCTTAGATCCCTGAAAAACATGATGTTTTGCACAGTGTTTACATAGTTATGTTGACAAAAGATAATATACACTTTGAAGCTTTTGCATCATCTGATAAGACTGGAATGCAAAAAGAGATTATAATATTAATGCATATTATGATATGATTGTAATTACAAAAATAAAATGTAAAAAAAGCAAATTACTTGATTTAGTAACAGTAAAAAAATGAAAAAGAAATGTTGACAGTTTTACTTTACGGTTCCTATAATAAAACATATTTACAGTGTAATTTGTCTCTCAAAAACATTGATCAGATATTGATAGTTGTTGCCCAACATTCTCTGCTCCCTCCCCATCCCGTCTCCTCCCACCTCCTGCTCCACCTGAAGCCTCAGTCAGTGCAGCTCAACGGCCGCCTGTCGGCCTGCAGCGCCTCCTCCGGGCCTGCAGAGGCAGACTCTCCCGGGAGGAGGTCGGCGGCGGTCAGCCCCACTAAGAGGAAGCAGTATAACTCACCGATCGGCCTGTACTCAGAGGAGACTATGAGGGAGATGGCGGCCGTTCAGGCGGGTCGGCCTTCTGGGTACGTAGAGACGAAGAGGAGGAATAAACATGGCGGGAGTTTGCTCTCGGAGGCAGAGCTGCTGATAGAGGAGGGAATGAGGACCTAAAGAACCACGTTTTTCAGGCTAATTTAATTGATATCCTATCAACTTTTCTGTGTTGATTCATGTCGTACAGTTCAGATTCAGATTTGTTGCTCCCTAAAGAACCAAACAGCCGGACCTTGGTCTAAGGAACAGAGGCGGCCTCTTTCCAGATCAAACTGTTTCTAGTGTGAACACATTTCTTTGGACTGTTCAGACCAATAGCAGGAAGTTCTGGTAGGCTGTCGTCAGAACTGGAAAAACAACAAAACAACAAAACAAAATGAGCTGTTAGCGCATGGAGAGGGGAGAAGGCCAGATGACCTGACTACTTTTATAAAGAGTCAGTTGGAAAAACCGAAGGAGAGAGAGACATACGATGATGGGACAGTCTGTCTATAAACCAATCAATGTCAATGATGACAGGACGTATATATGTCATGGAGAGTTCTTTAGATGCGCTCGCATCATTGCAACGTGAAACCAAAACTAACCGGATCAAATCCAAACAATGTAATCAAAAACATCAACCTTGGTTTGGACAGGTGTAGAAAGGCCCTTAGAGGTGTTGGTCGGTGTATGTTTGAGCATTTAACAGAGACACGCTGGCTGTTTACCCCTAGTTTGTCTTAATGCTAAGCTAGGCTAACCACATCCTGACTCCAGCTCTGCATGATGTGGATGCAGATGTTTGAACTCATTGAACCTCTCCAAGTTGTTTCCAACATGATGAGAAACGAGAACAGATGCTATCGTCAGCTACGATGCCTAGCATGCTGCTAAGTAATGACAGTTAGTTAGTTTGCTGACCTCAGCGAATCATTCCGGCTCAAACATTTTTACAAAACAAAAGTTACATGATATTTGTTTATATTTTAACCACAGTTAATTATATATCGTTTACGATTCTTAGACAAACTGGTTCTTCGGTTTTCTCTGAACCTGAAGCAGCAGCTCCTCCTCTGAGATCTCTGCTACCTTTCAGCAGCCTCATCCTGCCATGTTGACCAAAATGTCCCACACTGATCAGAGATTAATAACTGACTCCTCTAAAACCTCTGCTCTGCTGACCTTTAACCCAGAGAAGAAGGAGAAAAGTGGACTCATCTGGACATTCAGTGTCTTAAAGTCTCCCAAAAACAAAACATGGGCTGCACCTGAATACATATACAGAAATTGTGCTGTGAAACATGAAGAAGAAGACTCACAGCAGTATTATGAGTAACAAAATATAATCAACTGATAGATTACACTAACCAGCAGTATTTAAAGTAAAGACAATGAGCTTCACCTTTACATTAAAGTGATAAACACATATTTGCAGCAACAATTTTAATGTAATAATATATTATTTCTGCATAATGAGTACTTTTACTTTCGGTACTTCAAGTATATTTTTATGCAAAACATTTTGTACTTTTAATTGTAACTGTTTCTACATTGGATTATTACAGAGCTGTAAGGGGAAGTGTGTGACTGTTACCATAACTATTCGTAATCATAGCCACATACACACACACACACACACACACACACACACACACACACACACACACACACACAGTCTGTTACCCAGCATGCCTTTGGTGTTTCCTCAGTTCACAGTGTGATTCGGTTACAGTGTCACTGAAGTGGCCAAACACCTGTTTGTTTCTCTGGCTGCTGTTAAAGGTCAGGGAACCTTCTAGACAAACACGCACGCACACACACACACACTCTGTCTGGCTGCCCTTGGCTTACTTCTTGTCTTCCTAAATGCAGACGTCTAAAATGTCAAACCATCCCTTTATTAAAGAACAGGTGTATTCTCTCTGTTGTGTATTTTCACCTGACGATAAGAATCGTTGTGCTTTCTTTATCTTAAAATGAGCCGTTCTCTTCACAGAGCCGGCCACCATGTTTCTACAGTAGCACAGAACGAACAAACACTGGCTCTAGACAGGGCCGTCTGTCACCTTTTCATGTCGGCCATCGTAGTTTTCCTACATGCTTCACGCACTGGAGAAGTTTCAGTTTGTTGCAATCAGCAACCACACCGCTAGATGACGCCAAATCCTACACACTGAAAGTACAATCAGCCTATTTATTCCTCCATCCATCCATCCATCCAAAGGTACATCAAGTATATTTTACACTCCTAAAAATGCAAATACAAGCAGTGAGACGACAACAGAGTGCACAAATACAACACCCTTACAGTAATTAATATGGAAAAAAGCTCACAGCGTAGTAAAAAGCCGTTCTACTGTTATTTGAGGGTGCATAGAACTCCATTGTGGTGAAAAAAGCGACGTATTGATGCAATATGTGGAACCGAAAACCTCATCTTCGAGCTTTCTTCAACCCCACATCAGTGATCATTAGAACGTTAGAAGTGTCGTGTTCATTGTCATCACATCATGTCTGCGAGGGGATAAGATGTGCTCGACGGGACTTAAGATCACACTCTTGGCTGTTTTTTAAGACTTCAAATCTCTGACCCTGTAACCCATTTCAAAGAATTTGGGTATTAACAATGTATTCAATATACACGTCATTACATCAGTAAACTTATACATCCAAATGAAAAACAGATGTCTTCAGAAATAAATGTTATGGCTTATAAATCGGTAGGGGGAAGACCGGTTGTTCTTCTTTTACTATTATTATTGTCTCTGCTATAAAAGTCATGTGGAGAAGATTTTTCCCCCTTATTGTCTCTTAATGAAGAATCTCTGACCTTTATTCTTCTTTCCTCTCTGTAGCGGACGTTGTCCTGCTCACAAAACAAACATGTGAACGTGTTTTCTAATGACTTCATCTTCTCTTTCTTCTGCCCTTTCGATGTCGGTCAAACAAGATTTTCTCCCCAGCTGCTCCCAAGTTAGTATCCTCTCCTGCTGAGTGCATCTTGTGTCGTTTGGTCCTTTTAAGGCATGGTTTGGCTCTGTGGGTGTCTTTGTGTTCCCTGTTGGGATGAAGTGCTGCCTGTGGCCTTTTTCAGTCATCAGTACATACATGTCCAATAATAGATTACTGGGTAAAGTTACCAAAAGCAAATAAAAACCATGGTGGGACTAGTTGGTTGCCTCTGTTTTAAAGACGTTTCCCATCAGCCCCAGTGGTTTCCCTGCCCCCTTATAGAACATTGCCCTCGACTGGTCCGTTTTCAGAGGAAATTTCAGAATAAAAGAATGAAAAAAGAGAGCTGAGATAAAAGTTTAATCCCGGCTTACTGTCACATCTCCACACAGCTGAACAATCACAATGTTAAAAGTGCCTGTGAATGTCAGGTTGTCGGTTTCTGGAAGTTAAAAATGTCGTCTGATGTTTGACAGATATGAGGAGGAGGTTCCAGACTCCTCCTCGATGATCCGACAAGCACTTCGGGGTGCCTCACAAAATTCCCTAAAATAGAAGATGAAGAATGTAGCAGAAGCCCGACATGTTGGTTGGGGTACATGGGTCATTATTGATGGAGTTCTTCTGAAGTATCCCTTTATTTTCTCTCTAAAATCCCAGTTACTATAAGTTATACCTCCAAGTGCTTTTTAGAATTTGGTTTAACCTGCAGGGAGCACCGGATGGGTGGAGTTTATGAGCCATTTAGACACCGTCGGTCAGTCACAACCAGGTGAGTTCGATTAACTTCGCAGTACGTCATAAACCCACCTGGTACTCCGCACAAGCTAAAACAAGAACCAATAGTTTTCCACCAAAGGACATTTTCTGCTGTCTGTGCAGCGTGAATCTGCATCATCATGGTTTGCTGTGTGTTTCAGACTGAAAAGTTGTTGTTCATTACCAAGAGAGTGATGGCTTCTTTAAAACTAAGAGACAAATGAGTCTCCAGCTAATTCAGTAGCAGTGAGTTAATTAGCTGTCAGAATCTCCGTCTGGGTTTTTGTGAATGTTTTAATGTTCCTCTGGTGTTTGTGGTGTGCTGATTGGGTCTGCATGCATCCTCAGACACAGCCATATATTTAAATAAATGGGCGGGGGGTACAATTGATTAAATCTCTGCTGTTCTGTGGACTGATACAATCATCTATGTTACGTCTCTTTGGCATTTAAATAAAGGTCACAGTTTGACGCATTTTATCTGAGGTTCCGGTTGAACAGTTTGAACATGCATGAGGCTTGATTAATGCGAAGGATGAACACAACAGATCAAATCAGGTTTATAATCTGTAACAGTGTTTATGTCCTGGTGTGCTTGGTTGGTTTGATGCTTTTTCCTGCTTGTTTCTGGAGCTGTAAAGGACTTAAAGTTGATCCGTGACAGACAACGAGGAAACGTTCATAAATCGGATTAATGGACTTTGTAGAGGTTGAAACTGTAATGGTGTAAATATTTTCAAGCTTTAGTTACAACAGAAACCACAAAGACAATGTGAAGCTGCTGAAACTAACACAATGTTCTGCAATGCACCACGAAATACAAAAATGTGGGATTTGGTGTGGACAGGCTCATAGAGATGGATGGATGTTGGATTTTTAAATAAACCAGAGAAGAGTTCAGTGATGCTCTATGAGCTGTTTCTGATGAGAACAGAGTTTTGATGGAAGCATTCAATTGTTGCTTTAGATGTTTGCTGTGAGCATGGCTGGATGTTTCTTCTTTTTAACTCCGTCAGCTACATCGCCCACCTTCCCTCACACACTTCCCCTCTACCTTTTCCTCCACCTCTACGTCCTCCTTCGTCCTCTCCTCCCTCTCTCTCCGTCACCGCCACGTTGCCCCTCCTGCCAACAACAGCGCCGGCTTCAACCCCGCCGCCCTCCCCACCCAAAGGCCCATCGAGGTGAAGGGCCCCGGCGGCAAGGCCACCATCATCCACGCCCAGTACAACACGCCCATCAGCATGTACTCGCAGGACGCCATCATGGACGTAATCGCAGGGCAGACGCAGGGGAAGGGGCACGACGGCGGGTAAGAACACCTCCTCTTCCTCGTCATCCTCCTCCACCACTGTCGTCCTTTTTATTCTCTTCTGTTGTGTTTGTGCTCCTCACCATCACTCCGTGTACTCCTCTTCCTCACCAAAGATCCATCCTTCTTCCTTTGCCTCCTCTTACTTCTTCCGATACTTCCAGCTTCTCCTACTTTCTCATCTTCCTCTTCAAAATTACATTTATATACCGTCAATTTTCCTTGAAATAATTGCCAAATACTGAGGTATTTTTGTTAATTTAAAGAAAGATTAAATAACAATTTTTATTCAAAGTACTTTGTGTAGTGTTTAGTGAGCGTATATTCTGACAAGATCATCCTCCTTTCGAAACGCTCAAATAATGTTTAAATACTAATAATTTACAAACATGTCACACTTCCTTCACTTTATAGATATGAAACATATTCCAGTCAGCAGTTGTATTTTCCTTAAAAATCATATTTGGCAAAACAAATTAGTTGTATATGTTAACATCACTTCAGGGTTGACTCTCTTCACTCCCTCCTTCTTGTATTCCCTCCTCTTCATCACCACTTTTCTCAGTCTCTCTGTATATTTCATCTTTCTTTTAAGATGGTGGATATTAAAGTAGTTAAATCCCAAACACTCTCTTGTTGCCCAGTCCTCTCCTCCTCCTCCTCCTCCTCCTCTTCCTCCTTCTTATTCGACGACATTAGTTCTGACTCTTTTGTCTTGATGATTTCTGAATTTTAGAAAGAAGAAAACAGTGATTGTACAAATGTTGCTGCAGTGTTGTGGTTTTAAAGCAGTTTGTTCGTGGTGCGTTTAGAGTTGTTGGTGCTGCTGCAGTGTTTGTGTTCATGCGGTGAATGTGTGATTTGAAGTATTTGAAGCATTAAGTCACTAACAAGAGTCTATGAGCAACCACGCATTCACATCTCATTCAAATACAGGATTACAATATCAGATGTGATTCATAACCTCAGACATCACCTATATTACATGGACATCTTCTAGACTTGCCTTCAGATTAAATCTGTGGTTGCAGGGCGGTATGCTTTAAACATGGTCTGCATGTTAAAAACAGCTCATTAAGTGCAGTGTTTTACTCTCTGAAGCATTACAGAGATCCATCTGTTGTTGTAGTGTGTTGTGTGTTGTGTGTTATGGTAATTATGGGGAGAAATACTGCTGTGTGTTCTTCTTCCTCTTCTCACACGACCAATCAATTCTCCATGCTGATGGAAAATTGCATCAGGAGATGTGCTGCAGTGTATGCATGAAAAACCGCTCTCTCTCTTTCTCTCCCCTGAGAGAACAAAAACATTATAATTGCTCTGGACATCTACATGCAGTCTTCATTCATGCTCTACTTTTACACTCGGCTTTAATTTAAATGTCAGTCTGAACGAAACCATCCAGCTGTACACAGGACGAGCTTCACTGGAAAACCAACTACACTCGTGTGTGTTGCGTTCGTCCTCCTCCTTATCGTCTCTCCGGTCATCAAACTCTCATTTACTGAGAAACAGCGTTGGAATACAAAACTAAACAGATGAAAAAAGTCTGAGTAAAGGAAATAAAAAGAAACATTAAACAGGCTGAAGGAAAGACGTTAAACTGGTGTTACCGGTCACAAACTGGATGTTCTGAACCCTTTTCTCCTTCTTTTAGTGGGATACATCTGTGTCTAACAAACTCATCCTGAAACTCATTACAAAATGTTTTAATTCTCATATTTTGCTCTTCCTCTCATTTGCATCCACTGTCTCCATTTTCATCTTTATTTTCATTTTCATGCATGATCAAATCAACACCAGCTCGTTTTCCAGGTTTTAGTGAAAAGGTGGCAGGGCATCAAACACTTTACCCTCATCCACCCAAAATACAAACACTCTCCTTAAAGTCCACTTGAGCTTTAGTGTCATGGTATTGACTTGGTTTGGTGTCGGGGGGGGTTGCAGTCCTCTCCCAGTTAAAGATGGTCTTGTAGACAGCGACTCCCCGGTCTATCAGGCCGTCCAGAGTGCAGAGAAGGACCCGGACCTGGGCGAATGGGGCCGTCGCAGCTGTGCAGTCAACATGCAGTCCAAGTCCTTCCGGGTCCTGGCCCACATGACCGGCACTGAGTCCTGTAAGTTTCCTGTTTCTTTTTATTTGAGTCTGAAGTTTTCCTATCAATGTACACCACCGTTGAAAAGTTTGAATCAGCTGTTGATAATGTTTTCCTTCAATAATAACTATTTTAATGGAGATAAAAACTGTATAATCCAGACACCAAATATAATATTTACATTTGAAATAGTTTGGCCCCAAAAGACGAAAAATTAATTTAAACTTTAATTTAGTCAATGTGCCCACGGTGTTGTATGACAGTAGAGAATACTGTTTGAACATTTTAATTTGTGTTTCTATTAAAGTTGACTTACCTGCCTCACTAACTTTAAACTGAGGATGCTCACTGATGTCTGCTCTCCGCTTTGTTTTGTCTGTTACAGTACCAGGGGAGGAGGAGGAGGAGGAGGAGGAGGAGGAGGCTCTGAGGAGGAGCAGGTAGGCAGCAGAGCTCCATTAGACAGCTGCAGACCACCCCTCCCCACCGGCTGCTCACCTGTACACTCTGCCCCGCCCCCGAACACCTTGCCCCGCCCCTCACCTCTTCTCACTGCCCCTATAGGTCACCTCTGTCTTAAAATGATCCTGAACGTTCAGGTAAACTCATCTTGGCCTGCTTTTAGACTCTTATTTTGAAATACAGCAGCAGTGGACAGTACATTTACTCAAGTACTTTACTGAAGTATTTACGTTTTCTGTTACTTTATACTTCTACCTCACTACATCTTTAAGGAAGCATTGTACTTTATACCCCACGACATTTATCTGACAGCTTAGTTACTTAGAATTGTACACATATAACCTATAATGAGTTCATAAAATAATATGTTGTGAGGGTTTAACTACCAAATATTAACTTATTTCAAGTATTTGATTTAAATCAGCTCCACCTCGACCGGCTACATCATCAACAGTGATAATAATAGTTCATAACAATAATAATAATCAGAATAATAATTATAATTAGTTATAATCTGAAATAAAGGCAACACTGATCACTGTTGTGATAGGTTAGCATGTAGACTTCTTAATTGTGATTAAATTAATCTATCTTAATGAAATCTTTATTGTCCTATTCTTAAACCACCAGTAGAACATGTTTTACCACTGAAAATAAGCTGGAGTGTGGAGTCAACATTAACCAATCAGCTGGTTGCAGGTTGGAGATTTGTTATGTCGGCAGAATCATAGTAAGTTATTGATTAGTTATGAGTCCGATGTAAAGATCTGGTTTCTCCAGAAGGGGGAGCAGTGGGACTGACAAACACAAAGGTTTTGCCGTCTGACATGAGATCACATGAATCCTTTTTGTATTGATCAAACTTGGTATTGATTGATCAAAGAGAGCATTAGAGCATTTTGGCCTGACTGTGGCTGTCACCAGGGGAACAATAACAGGGGAAAGAGTCTCCAGTATGAAGAGCACAATCCTCCATTACAGTTATATTGACATGAATAATAGATTTTAATTCCTGGATCACAGACTTATATCAGAGAGGTCGCAGTTCTCAAACAAAGTTTTTCTTATTCACGGCCTGAATGTTCGCATTGAAACACAGTGATGAGATTGAGAGCTTAACTAGTACTGTTCGCAAGTACTAATGTGAAGTACTTGTATTTTACTTGAGTATTTTCTCTTCATGTCACTACATTTATCTGACAGCTTTAGTTACTTTACTAATCAAATTCAAAAGAGATTTCTACTCACTAAAAGGAGTTTATAAAATATTATGTTTTGTTTATACAATGCAGCTGAAACAATCAGGATATTAATCAATTAGTTGATTAACAGAAAATATATTTGCTGACTATGTTGATGGTTGAAGTCATTTTTTTATGAAGAAACATTTCATGCAAGTCGCAGCAGCAACAACAGACATGACGATAAATACAAATACATGTCATAACAAAGCAGCATGTACGCGTTCGTTATTTAATTGAAGCAACTGCAGTTACCACTTCCTTCATTTTAAGTTTAAAATCAGCGTATAAACCTGGCCTACAGATCGTTTCAAGACCAAACACTATGACATATGTTTTGTTCTGCAGCAGGTTCAATTTAATGACTTGAAAGATTTAAGGAAACATTTCAGTGTGTAAATACTCAACAGATATTTACAAGAAGTAACCGAGAGGTTGTATAAAACATCCTGCGACTGCAGAAGATATAAAGTCTGTCTTTAAATTTGGACCAAATATCTGGAGTTTCTGGCTAAATGAGGATTTTTATTCCATGTCTCCTGTTGCTCTCTCAGTTTGTTTTCCTTGTGTTTTAGCTGCTTTTGTTGTCAAAGTGTTTGTGAAATAGAAGCCGAGCTGACGGAGAATCAGACGCTGTATATCAGAGCGTGGAGGTCTCTGAGTGGACGGACAAAGCTTTTAACCCTCCCCCCTCCTCCTCCATCCTGAACACTGATGGATGGAGCTCTCTCTGCTCCGCACACTTATTTAATCATCCCTCCATTATGCACAATCGATCCCTGCTGCCCCCACCATCCTCCCGTCAGTCTGTGTTCGCTTTGCAATGACTCAACGTGAATCAATAGGAGCGGAGGTCAAGCTTTTATCCGCCAATAAAGAGACTGTGGTTTTTCCCTTTTGTCTCTAAGTCATCCTGAAGGGCAGCAGCTCAGACGTGACTCACAGAAAGATAAAACACAAAGAAATACATTTGTCTTAATGAATTTTATAAATACTGAAGTCCCCCCCCGATGCACACCAATATACAGATCATTTAGAAAATTAAAAAACAATGTTACCAGCTAATTTGAGTATCATATTGAATTAATTTGATCACATTTTTAACGAGCAATATCGAGCTTTTTGATTTGTGCATGAGACAATAACAATCTTCTATATTTTTCTCTTTTCATGCTTCAACTAATCTGATCTGAACTTTCACTAATCTGATCTAAACAGCATATATGTGCAAGCAGGGTTGTAACGACTGCATGTGTAAAAATATACTGTAAATGTACAGTGTAAACTGTATATATCATGATAACGCTTCCTGTGCTTTAGCCCTACTGAGCATGCTCCAGCTTCTGCCGGCTCCGCCCCCATCTCTCCGCAGCCTTTGAACCCAGCTTCACCTGACCCCGCCCCTCACAGGTAACCAATCAGCTGTGGGCTTTATATTGTGTTCATATGTGCAGACTCACACCAACATTATAAACCAACAAGTATCGTGTGTTCATCTTGGAGCTTAGACAGGAAGTCAGAAAGTATTGAGAAACCGACGAACATGTTGTTGGTTTGAGTCCAAACTTGAGATTTGTTGACAGTAAGAAAAACATAGAATAACACCAGACTTTGAGTATCTTTTAAAACTTTGCAGACAGTTGTTTAGGATATTTGCCTGTTTTCTGGTGACTTTATTTCGCAGGTTAATGGAAGCATGATTGATTTATGTTGACCTGAAACATTTAAAAGAACGCTTCACTGTCTTTTCATGACAGTAATGTCTAACTATTCTTGCGTTTAATTAATAAATATTGTTCCTCTTGATTTTACTTAACATTTTGCAGAAATACTATATTGACCCTCTGTTTGCGTTCATAAGCAAATCTCTACTGACAATACCTCAGTAATATGATGTTGTGTTTTAACCCGTGCTATTGGAGGATTTTGAGTTTGTGGTGAGACAGGTGTGTTGCGTTCAGGTGCTGGTGGGACATCTTGGACTCACAGGATGTCATCTAAATGGGTCGAAGTGTTTTCATGTGCTTGTTTGTTGGCTCTTTGATGGTGCTGAAGATGTTCTGAGTGAGACATACTTTGTTGTTATATCTCAGGGCTTCTTTTGCTGTTTTTTGGACAGCAGATAAATCTGAGAACATGTTACTTAGAGGCTGAGAAACATGACAAACACAATCTTAAAAAGGCAGCTGTGGTTAGAAAACAGCCCACTGAAGCGTCGTCAGCAGTAGGCGTGACCCTGGTGGAGATGCAGATCATCATGGTGACCACTGCTGTTGTCTCTACACCTGCAGCCTGAAGCGACAGTCTGCCGCTGGTTACAGCCTCCAGCACAGAGCTGCAGTCTCCAGGTACCGACACCTGCAGGGATCCAGCGCTCGAGTCCACATGCTGCCAGCGTTTCTATTTCACTTCACGCTGCCTCTTGTCCTACGCTCTGTAACACAACATCTGCCATCAAACGGAGGCTTCTTCATCTAAAACTCTCTTTGCAGAACCATGAGCAGACTTAAGGCTTCAGTATGCTTCACGTTAACTAGTGTGTATGAAGTCGTTCGACCTCGTCTAAGGTCTGTTATGCTACTTTATACCTTGGTCTGGGTGAATACTCCATTCTGCTTGGCTCCTACTTGTTAAAATGTCTCTTGGATCAACTGGAAAATGCATCGTCACAAAGCTGAAAAGATCTTGTAGAATATGATGCATTGCTGTAGACTACCCAACAGTATATGAAGGAGTTAAAATTAGCACAACCTTAAAGGGTAACTTTGGTATTTTTCAAGCTGGACCCTATTTTATCATGTTTCTGTGTCTAAATGACTATTGGGTGCAACAATTTTTGACATTGCTCCAGGGAGTACCTGCTAAACGGGCTGCAATGTAATCATATCTGGTAATTCCTCACCGTCAATGTACGTCCGCTAAAAGTGCAAACAGACCGGATCAAGCAAAAGGTAAAGTAGTTTTATTTCTCTGTAGGGTTCTTTACATAATTGAACACCTATAATAACAATCTGAGCCTGTCAGTGGCAGAAACAAGTCCTTTTAGTGGTCATACATTGACGGTGAGGAGTTGCCACCAGCAATTACATTGCAACCCGTTTAGCGGCTGCTTTCTGCAGCATTTAACGATGCACACAATTCTGAAAAATAGCATGTTAGTATGGAATATCAAACACCACACTGCTAAACTCTGAACGTAATTCTTTTGTTTTCACTCAAAAGTCATTTCTAAATCAATATATATATTATAATATATATTACAGATATAATAGAAGTAGTTAAAGAATGAAAAATGAATCATCTCTGTGTAAAGTTGGAGTAAGAGTTTGACCTGATTGCGCCATCAAAAAGAGAGTTTCAGACACTGTTAGAAGATCCAACAAGCACTTCGTTTGAAGCAGACTGAGGCCTTTATTTAATGGGTAACCCTGATGGGAATCGAACTCCTAACCCTGCCACCGCTGGTGCATCGCTCATTCCAGGACCATGTAACTGTGGAGTAACAGCTTCATCCGTTCATCAGCTAAATAACATGCTGAATCTCTTTTAACTGGCTCTGAAAGATGACAGTCCAGCTGTCACATTTTCATCTTTATCTTAATTGGGAAGATACTGACACTCATTTCTTCCAGGCTGGTTTTCCTCAACTTTCTTTATTAAAACTTCCACTAACTTTTAAGTATCTTGTGTATGTATTTTCTGTATACATAGCTAAGATTTACACAACCCAGTAAACACTGATTTGGTGATTTGCAGGTCAAATGATGAAGTTGAAAAATAGAAATTACTAGATTACATACAACAGCATTTTAATACAACGTCAAAGATAGTTTTATGTATCCGAGATGACTTTTGACCTGCAAATTAACAAATCGGTGCCTGACACATGGAAGGAAGTCAGGTAAGAATTTGTGCACATTTAGACTGATGTTTAAACTACAACTTGATCTCTTTAATGAGTTTAAAGTTGCAGGAGGCTCAAAACCGACTGTTCACAAAATCCTGATGATGAATCAACAATCTTTCATCCCTCTCTAGCCAATATGGTCAGCCTCCTGCCATGCATCAGGCTCCACAAGCCCCGCCTCCGCAGCAGTATCAGCAGCCAATGCCGCAGCAGTACCAGCAGCCAATGCCGCAGCAGTACCAGCAGCCAATGCCGCAGCAGTACCATCAGCCAATCCCGCAGCAGTACCAGCAGCCAGTCCCACAGCAGTACCAGCAGCCCCCCACGCAACAGGCCCCGCCCACTCAGCAGAGCTCCATTCAGATCCCTCTTGGCTCCCTCCCTCCCAAGGTGGTCAGCACCGCGTGCATCTACCCCTCGCAACCAGGTGAGAACACCTGTAAAACACAGTTATTGTTGTGATTTCACTAGATTCGAAACTTTTACACAAATCGTTTTCTTCTCCTCCAGCTTCAGCTCCACCTCCTGCTCCACTTCAGTCCCGCCCTCCAGCTGCTGCCCAATCCCCGGCTCCAGGTGGCCCCGATTCCTCTAACCGACCCCCCTGGGTGTCCGACACCAACTTCGCCGGCAAGTTCGACCCCAGTAAGACAACAACCACCATGAAGATGCAGCCGCTTCCCCAGGGTGCACCTCCTCCTCCAGCATACATCCCCAACCGCTCTACCTCCGCACCTGCAGCTCCTAGCCCCGCCCCCATCACACCAAGCCCCGCCCCGTTCTCACCTGTGGCGAGGGGTGTGGCCCAAAGGGCGGAGAGGTATGCCGCCAGCAGTCGCACGCCTCTGTGTGGGTCCTGTAACAGCATCATCAGGTAATTTACACAATTTTTGATTATATATGATATTATGCTGCACTGTATTCTGGTTTGGACTGCTTTGTCATACAGATAAATATGTTTTGTTAATGAATGGGTATATGAATATGTATATTACCGTAATAATGCTAATCACTGTGAAACTGAATCTCTATTTTTTTATTTTCTTTACCTTAAATTCACATACATTTTCCATTAATAATAACTGTCCTCAAGATGTATTTGTTCATTCCTCTGGCAGTTTTTATTCGATTGTGTTTTCTGGCTTTTTTTATGATTATGAATAATTCTCTTGAAAACAAGGTCTCAATCTCAACTTCCTGATTTAAAGAGTTTCTAATAATGATAAATCAATTTGATTATGGTTGTTAAGTATTACGTTTATTTATTTTGGACATCTAAGGATGCAAATTTAAAAAGTGATGAAAAACAAGAAGAATGCAGGTAGCTTAAAGTCAGAACATCATAAAAACATGTCACCTCAAACTGACTGAACCTGAGAGCCTGTTGTTATTGGTGTTTCCAGGGGCCCCTTCCTGGTGGCCCTCGGCCGGTCCTGGCACCCCGAGGAGTTTAACTGTCACTACTGCCACATGTCTCTGGCTGACGCCAGCTTCGTGGAGGAGCAGAACAACGTCTACTGCGAGAACTGTTACGAGGAGTTCTTCGCTCCGACCTGTGCCCGCTGCAACACCAAGATTATGGGGGTGAGATGGTCCACTTTCCTCCCTGTCCACCTGTATACCTGCAGTGCATTCTGACATTGACGCGGTACAGCATTCAGGTTAACAGTGATGGAAATAATATATTATTTGTAGCAAATGGTTGAAGACACTGCAATGGCCCTTTAAATGCTCGCTATCACACACACATACATACACACACTTCAGCCCGTCTGACACGTTGTGTCATGTGTGGTACAGGAAGTGATGCACGCCCTGCGGCAGACGTGGCATACCACCTGCTTCGTTTGCGCGGCATGCGGCCAACCCTTCGGAAACAGCCTCTTCCACATGGAGGACGGAGAGCCGTACTGCGAAAAAGGTACAACGATGTTCACACGGGGTCGGGCTATAAACTGTTCAGATTGTATTTTCATGTTACATGGTCTCTGTCTCTCTCTCTCTCTTGTCAGATTATATCTCACTCTTCAGCACTAAGTGTCATGGCTGTGACTTCCCTGTTGAAGCGGGTGATAAGTTCATTGAGGCTCTGGGCCACACCTGGCACGACACCTGCTTCGTCTGTGCGGTGAGAAACAGAAAGAAACATCATTTCACCTGTAAAATAAGTCAATAATTACGTTTGTGGCACTCAAACATTTTGGAAAATAGCATTTACATAATTCAACAGCAACATCTTTTTGCAGAAACAGTGTCTTTGTTGCGCTGGATAAAAATAATCACTCATCTTTCTGCCGAAGAAAAAGTCCCTCTGAAAACTGTAGTGTTCTGTGTTGTCCAGAAATTAGCACTGTGAAATTAATTTGCACAACTTTACAATATTTGTTGTACCTGCAGGTTTGCCATGTGAACCTTGAGGGCCAGCCTTTCTACTCAAAGAAAGACAAACCTCTGTGCAAGAAGCACGCTCACGCCATCAACGTGTAGACCAAAAAGCTGCAGACCTGCTGCTCTGGCCGCCCCCGGGGGCAACGCTGCCGGGCGTGGAAAACGAACCCAAGCCAACGACAACAACTTTTGCAAGATGTGTGTGTAAAGGCTCTTTATGCAAAATACATTTTGGTTTTTCTTTTTGTGCATTAATATTAATGATTTAAAACTACGTTGCCTGATGATCCCGCTTCAAAACAGAAACAAAAACAAGTCATGATGTTGTTGTTGCTGTTTGCCATCCAACCCACTGTATTATGTTCTTTTAATTTTCCTATGTTTTCTACCAGAAACTACTTGTGTGCTCAATGTGACCGTTGTTCTGTTATTTGGAGTCTTGAGTGTGCCAAATTAAATAACTTTTATATATTCTCATCAGTTAATAAATGTGAAATGTAAAATATATGGAATTAAATTGACAATACAAAAAAGATTAATAATAAAGATATCATTACATGAAATATTAATAATAATATAGTTGATAATCTAATCCATTTGTAGCTCGGATTGCACCTCATTTGTATGTCGCGTTGGACAAAAGCACCAAATATAAAATTGTAAATCTACATCTACGTATCCTGGGAAATTATATGATTGTTCTAGTGGCACACTGGAGACTCCATAAGCTTGAACTGCAAAATGGTAGTTTGTCTCCAGAATATTGTTCTCATCATATCTTGGACTTGACTCAGTAATGTGCCTATTTTGATTCAGACCTTTATGGGTCTTTTGAATGCTTTTTTTTTCACTTAACTAAACTAACAAAAATATTTTATTAATGTTTGGTTCAGTTCACTGCGATTTAAAATCACAGCCTCTATAGAAGCTAAAATGCCCTCAAATTCATTGTTTTTTCAGAGCAGCAGATAAAACACTGAAGCATTACTTTTACATTTTATAAACAGTTTGTTTCCTGCAGCTGTGTGACAGTGAAATGATCCTCAGAGCAGCCCATGAAGAAGCCTTATCTGACATGCTGTTAGAAGTGAGACTGGCAATGAATGTAACATGACCAGGTGTTTCCTCATTCCAGCAGGTTCACCTGTGTGGTCGAATATGAAAAACAAGTCTAAATGCACAATGATACTGTGAGAGTACCCAGACCCAAAATTACCACAAATAGGCACAACTCCATAGAGACACATATAGCTGCTAAACGATCACAAAGGGACAGAAAACAATTAAAAGACACACAAAACCACTACATTGAGACACAAAACAGCCACATAGAGACGCCAAATAACTACAGAGTCAGAAAACGACGACAAAGAGACACAAATATATAGTTTTAACCACCATTGTTCACCTGTACAGAGTGTGTTTAATTCTGAAGGACAGTATTTCAGTGTATATGTTTATCCAGGTGAACCCCTGGCTGCTGCAGAGTGTGGATGGTGTCTGATGATGTGATGTGGAGTGTAACTACTAATCCCTCTCTGACTTCACGTACAGTAGGTGTTACTGTGCAGCAAATAACCTCGAATTTCATATTAATAGACTACTCGTCAGTTTGATATTTATTTAAAAGCTAATATATCTTCACTGCTGTGTTCGGTGCTAATCAAATTAATAGTTTAATTTGTCTTCTGGATGTTATGTGTTGATTTAGTCTTTCTGTATATTTATTGTGTTAATGTTTGTTGTTGTCCTGAACTGTAAGAGCTTGAATGTTTATCACGGTGGCATTTTTCACGACAAGGCCACTTCATGGCTCTGTTCAAACCTCATGCCTTAGCATTGACTGTTTTATTCAATGACTATTACAGGATACTAGGAAGGCCCTCAAGTCCCAAAAGATTATAGATTTTATTTATTTTATCTTGTGCACACAAGATCTAAAACAATGTAACTTCTGGGGCAGCAAAGGATGTTTGTGTCCAGCTGATGAATGTAAGTACAATATTGACTCTCTTTTAGCTCCGTTTTTGGTCTCGACCAACTCTTTAGGGCAATATCTGTCTGTGATCGATATATGTGTCATTTTAAACTGAACACCTGGACAGGTGTTTTCAGCCTGCCACATTCAAAGTCTGGTCTCAGATGTACTTAGAAGAGGTGATATTGCCTGGGAGCTGAAGTTTTTATTGACTTGTATTTATAAAGAGAAATTGGGTGGGTTTCCCTTTCACTTAAATACGAGCATAGTGTTTTTAACAGCATGTGTTGGCCGTCAGAAGAACTGCACCTCAACAAACTGCAACAAAAAGCATGATCCATTTCAGATCCTGTCTTTCTTTGTTCCAGGTACGTTGAATGATGCTCTGTTAAAGGTGATAAAAAAAAATGAAACCGCCTGGTTCACTTTTATCATGACGTGTCAACACATCCTGTGATCTTACAGCATCAGATCTGATGTTTTTACACTGTGAACAGAGCCTCGGGTACAGTGAATACATGATTTAGAACGGTAAGACTTTTTGGTTTTAGAAATATGTTTTTTTCAGATTAACTTAAATTTACTTTGACACAAGTTTATGTGGGGAAGCTTGTTCATACTTCCTGCAGTGTATTGTGCCTTAGGCCACTCCTTGATCTGTCTGTCTGACTGGCACACACTCACTCGGACAGTTGTGATGTGTTTGTGTGCTGGTGTACAGTTTTTCATTTGAGTATTTTATACAGTTTGTGTATTTTTCAGAGGGTGAATGTGTGCATGCAGAACGTCACAGCTTGCCACAGCATGTGGAGCGAGTCAACGTCCGTATTGGTTAGTGTTGGTGTCACTGCGTCACTGTTTAACATGATTAAGAGTGTTTGAACTGGTTTTGGTGTCAATGAGCTGTAAAGTGAAACACTATTAATGCTGCAGTAACATTAAGACTCTCCTGGTTGTTGGAGATTCAGCTGCTTTACTACATTTGTTAACAGGTTTTAAATATTTGATAAATATATGTGTTGCAAGTTGAATAAATTGAGCACTTAAAACACGTTAAAACATTTGCTGTCAAGCTTCTTTTTTTGTGTATTTAGGATGCTACTTTCTCCTGCAGGATTGTTGGGTTTAGTTGACAGGACATTCTGTTTAATTTTGGTTGAGGAGTCACAGGAGTAATTCATTTAGGATCTCTGCAGATTAGGGCCATGGAAAAATTATACATTTTGAAGATCTTCCTTCGAATTCCAGCAGTGCCTTTTATCTGTAGAAAAAGAGTTTTAGGATGAAACCTTTAGGTGACAGACAGTGCATCCGGAAAGTATTCACAGCGCTTCACTTTCTCCACATTTTGTAATGTTACAGCCTTATTCCAAAATGGATTAAATTCATTATTTTCCTCAACATTCTATTCACAACAACCCATTTTTTTGCAAATCTATTAAAAATAAAGAACGAAAACATAACATGTCTAGTAAACAGGAGATCCTGGGTTCAAATCCCAGCAGCGCCTCTCCTGGGCAGTCTTGACTTCAACTTTTTGCTCTCATATTTGAGAAAATTAATGACCGTATGAAATTTGTTAAAAATACCTTCAAAGAGGCGCTATGGCTTAGTTGGTCAAAGTGCCTGTCTCGTAAACAGGAGATCCTCGGTTCAAATCCCATCAGTACCTGTGACAAAGCAGTGTAACCTTCAGCTTCATTGTTTCATATCTGTGAATATGACAGAAAGTTCAAACTTTAAGGAATAGTCAGTCCCAGAGGTGATGTGGCTTAGTTGGTCAAAGTGCCTGTCTGGTAAACAGGAGATCCTGGGTTCAAATCCCAGCAGTGCCTCAAAGAGAAAAATAGTCAGAGCGCCAAATGAGAAAGGATCAGACTGAATCTTATTGGTGATGCACTGTCTGTTACAATACAGTGTAGACTTCAACTTTTTGGTTTCATATTTGTGAAAATTAAAGACTGTTTAGAATTTTGGGTTCAAATCCCAGCAGCGCCTCTCCTGGGTAGTCTTGACTTCAACTTTTGTTCTCATATTTGAGAAAATGAACGACCGTAGGAAATTTGTTAAACAGACCTTCAGAGAGGTGCTGTGGCTTAGTTGGTCAAAGTGCCTGTCTTGTAAACTGGAGATCCTGGGTTCAAATCCCATCAGTGCCTCAAAGAGAAAAGTGGTCAGAGCACTAAATGAGAAAGGATCAGAATGAATCTCTTTGGTGACACACTGCCTGTTACAACACAATGTCGACTTCAACTTTTTGGTTTCATATTTGTGAAAAT